GATTTAGTATAGTTTATAAACACATTTTTGATTATGTATTTCCATCGATAATATACTGTAATAATATTTTTTATTTTATATATATATATATATATATATATATAAACATAAAATAATAAGCTACCGACGTACTTCTATTACATAAATATCGTACGAAATATATTGTACGACGTATTTTTGTATTTTCACTTTCAATCCAGTGTATATTATTAACAAAAAAAAAAAAAAAATTAAATTAATTTTAAAAAAAAACACAACAAAATACTTAAATTGAGTTGGTTAGTTTTATTTTTCGTAATAAATTCTTTCGTTTTTAATTTGCCTAAAAGCACCATCTGGGAACCGCACCCGCGAGATGGTCGATTTGGCAATGGAGTAGTTTCTACTCAGGTAACAGTGGTTCTCGTAAACACCAGATTCGTCATAATTGAAAACTTGTATAATATGTTCGAAATACTTACCCGTCTTGTTTGTTGGAAAATGTTTTTAATGTTACATGGATAACAATATTGTTTAATCATATAAAACTGACTGTCTAAAGTCTACTTTTATTTAGACATAAAAATACGTTTGAATAATAATCACGTATCAGAACAACGATTCGGTAAAATATAATAAATTTACGAATTCGTATGCCTTATCAATCATCCAACATTTTTTTAGAATACTGAAAAGAAAAATAATAAAATACGTATAGTTTATTTCTTGTTTTAATAATAAGAAAAAAACTCATAAGTAACTGACTATGACAATTTTCCTTTAAAGTTACAAAATGTATCAATTTCCCTCTTTTAAAGAAAATGATTAATGTTTTTTCTTATTGGAATTTTGAATACGCAAAAATAAAAAAAATATATGAATTAGTAGAAAGTTATAAAATAAAAAAGAAATTACTTAAAAATTATTTGAATTGTATTTATTTTATTTAATACTTTTAACATAGCATATACTGTTCTGTGTTTTAATAATTATTACATTTTCTTATTCCCTCTTTGTAAAACATTCGATATTTATTTGATTTTCTAACGAAAAATCATAACATTTAACAATTACTTTTAACAAAAAACAATTTTAGTAGGTTTATAATCTGAATAATGGTTATTATTTAAAAGCAATTAAAAAAAAAAAAAAAAAAATTTCACGGCAAAAATATAAATACGGTTCTAAAAATGAAATGTTCATGGTTTAGTCAGTTCTATGTAGGTCAATGGATATATAATGTTCTAAGTTTTATCATTTTAAGAGAACAGCGTGATTGTATTAATTATAACATCTTATTTTTGTTTTATTAAATACAATAACTAACAATTAAATTATAATTAATTATAAAAGATGAATGAAAAAAAAAAGAAATATTAAGTTGTTTTTAAATATTAAATTCTTATGATTATACAAATGTTTCAAAAAACATAAATTAATGATATTTTGATGATCAAAACTACAAAAATAAGTCTGGGTCATTGTCTAATTTTTATGATACTATAAATTACACTTTTTAACTCCGTAAAAGCAAAAAATAATGTTTTACATAATATATATACGAATATCTTATTATGGAAATAACAAAATTATTTACTGTAACATTTATAACTGTATAAATATTATTTATTTATAACTTTCTTACTGTTAGCGAGATATCAACTGTAACAGATTTCTGTTTATGAAAAATTATTATAAATTGCTCAAGGTGGAATGTAAACATATTTATTTCTCAATAATTTTATGATTGTGAGCTTTTCATTTTTTTTTTCACTGTATATTTATCTCTCCGTGGTGCTCTAATATGTTGTTGATAAAGACATATAGAATAATAATTACATCAAGTACATAATCTCTTGGTAATCTATTGGATTTTCTTTTGATATAAATGTATAAACGCTTTATTTATAATCTACTTAGTAGCCCTATTACAACATGGCTGATATCTTCAAATGTAATTCCAACCAATGACGAAGCTAATGTCAGACGGGTTTTACTCTTATTTTGCCTGTTTTCGTGAATTATCACAAGCACAATTGTTAAAGTACGAATTTAATTTTTATGGACTGTATAATTTTTTTTATTTTTATTAATATAACATTACAATAATTAGTTAAATAATTTTATGTACGTGGCGATTGACAGTCGAAACTCATACTATCATACAAATACAACATATACTATTGCACACGATAACTCGACAAAATCCGTTTATACACGTCAACAGCAATATAAAATAATCGGTCACTCGGCTGCAAAACCTACAGTGATCAAAGTTGGCCAGCCATTTTATTGTGTTCGTGAAATATCAACGACCATAATATAGTAACATTTAAAATGAAACCATTCAATCTATTCAATTACAATTATATATATATATATATATATATATATGTTATGGGCAAAGTATACAATTTGGGCATTTTTTATACAATGCCCGGGAATTTTATACATTATCCGGACAATATATAAAATGCCCTTCGTATATTGGGCAATATAGATAACAGATGATATGATTTAATGAAATATGATATATCAATGAATAATGACATGTATTTATATTATTGATTAATTCATCTCAGTAGATATAATTTATCGCACTACCAATCCTTTCTTAGCTGTACTTCCTTTTCTTTTATATGATTTGTAACTATTTAAGTATAGCATAATCATATCTCTGGTGATATTTTTATATTTTGTATTTACCTCGTGTTCCATTTTGTTTCGTCCACCATGTCCAATCGATAGATGTATATAATATTTAATTTCGTTGTTTTCAGATATTGGTACAATTAACTTATTAACATCAGAAACTTTTAACACGTCATATTTTTTTAAAAGTTTATAATCATTTGGTTCCTTTTTCTTTGAATTGTTTTTTAATTGATTTTTAAGTAAAATTAATTGATCAAATTTTAACTCGGTAAAAAATGAAGTATTTGAACCTTTTTTTTATTTTAAAAAAAAAAATTATTTAAATCTTCACTAAACTTTTCCATATTCGAAAAGTAGTTAGGTACGCACTGAATGAATTAATCTGCACTATACAAACGATTCACGCTTACTAAATAGTTCATTTTTGAAAAAAGGTAAAAGGCCGACTGCACGATAATCACTACAACTTCATATAATATAACTTATAAATCAGTAAATATAGTAATAATATATTATGTCACGTACATGCGTATAATATTTGGAAAAGCGGACATCCCCATTGTAAAAATACGATAAGAACAAACAAACTAGTTACAGATAATAATTTTTAGATAATAATTTGACTTTATTTTAACTATGTTTTACGATTTATCATATTTCATTAAATCATATCATCCGTTATCTATATTACTCAATATACGAAGGGAATTTTATATACTGTCCAAACAATATATAAAATGCCTGGGCATTGTATACTTTGCCCGTAATATATATATATATATCTAAAAGATAAAACCATTGACAGAATCACTAGGTCCATTATAATTAAACGCATAATTAATCCCACGTAAGTTGTCTGCAAAATAGAGTGCCTGGATTCCGAAAACATCTCACTTAAACGACAATTTGAAACATTTGTATGGATCGTAAAGTGTATTCTGTATAGTTATCGCTGTCCAACTTTGTCATCGCTTTCGGTCAGGTCGACAATGTATCAGCATATAAACATAGACATGACCCCCACCGATGGTCTACGGATTTCCAGAACATTACACTACACGTGATTTAGTTCCTATGTACACGCGTAAAACATATCAGGATTGTATCACATCTTTGGAATACTTGAAAACTTTCATGACGCTACGCACATCATGAATTCTCTGCAGTAATAATGTACAGAACCCAATATTAAATATCCCTCCTTGCTATTGTTAAGATAAAAACGATTTGAACTCAACAGACAAATAGGAAGGCTTAGTAACGGCGTTCGCGTGGCTCTCATCTCGCTGGCCGCAGTGGGTAAACTGCCAGTGGCCGTCCAACTTTTGAAATGAGCTCGAGGGTCAAATCTTAATGCAACGGTGTTAATGTTTATTATTCGTCGAACCCAGCTTACTGTCTGGTATTGATTATTTTTATAATGTCAACGAATCTTAGTCAAATTAAGCCATTCGTATATTAGTATTGGGTTATTTTATGCAAGCCTAGCACTTCTCCGTTTGTAACCAAATCAACATAAATATCGAATACAATATCTTAAAGCTGATGAGAGACGCGTCTCACGACGTCGACGGTCAACGGTCACGCGCATGATGTCAGCGGAAATATTTTGGTGGTCATTGCACGAGTATCTCAACGTATACGTTAGTGTGTTACATCTCCATCTGTCGTTCGAACATCCATTGTTCTAAGCTGTGATCGGGTGCTTATATCAATGGTGGATACAATGGGGGAGGAGGGAGTTAAAACCCCTGCAAAATCAGGAAAAATATTATAAAGTATGAGGGAAAGTATAAAATTTGTAATTTTATTCATACAAGAAAACAGTAATCTAAGATTTAAATTAATGTATTATATTACTTACTATTATCTTAATTCTTCGTTATCAATCACTGACTGAAATGTTATAAAAAATATCACAAGAGAAAACATTTTTCAACCCCCCTCCCCAGAAAAAAAAATGAAAAAAAAAAATTCTGGATCCGGCACTGTTACACATCGCATCAAAATTTACGCTTTGAAAAAAACACTGTTGTGTTGCTCGCTCGACGAACATAATATTTTCTTCAACATCGGCACAGTCCTTGTATCAAGTGCAGAGACCAAGTCCATGCCCAAGGCTATATCCTAGGAAATCCACTAAAACGATTCTGACGGCGGACAATAGCGTTAGAACGAACTGTTAGAAATTCCCGCGGGGAACAAACGTTTTATTATTATATCGTAAAATGATTCCGGCAAGCGCGTTGTCCTGTTTTCCTATCCAATCGGCTTTGATTCTTCATCGCTTAGCATTGAAACTCTTATCACTGGTTTATATGTTTTTTCTTATTCCCCCACTCATCGATGAATGTTATCGTTTGCAGGTCACGCGCACCGTTGGCGTCTGTTGAGCAGCGGTTGAACGGCTGTAGGAGCGATCGTAGACATCAATGTGCGCGCCGTTGAGGTACGCGTGTTGAACATTCACAGTGCGGATCCGGGTGGGACGAGCGACGAAGACAACCGGCCGGGCACAGGATCAGAAACGGTCGGCGGCGGCGGCGGTGGTGGCGGCGACGGTGGCGACGACGACGACCGCGGTGACGACGTGGACGACAACGAGACGTCTCGTGCGCGCCGGCCCATCGACGCCGACGGCCGCCGCCGCGTTCCGCGACGAGCGTAATATGATCGCGGCCGGCCGCGACGGTGGTGCAAACAATGGTTGGCGGTGGTGATACCGTCGTGCCGGCGCGCCGGTCATCATGCGGTCCGGGCGGTCGGGGCGGTCGCTCGTGCTACCGCGGTCCTGTTCCAGCGGCCACTACTACCGCGCACCACGGTCGGGTTTGTCGCCGTTGTTAGTTGCTGTCACCGGGCTTGGGGTTCGTCGCCGTCGCCGTCGTCACCGCCGCCGCCACAGCGGCCACAGCCGCGACGGCCAGCAGCACCGGTGCCGGCGCATCGCCGTCCGCGCGCGCCGCCATGAGGTTGGTGCAGAGCATCGCGGGCCGGCGAGAGTCCGCGGACGCACAACCGGCCACGTCCACTAGCAGCACGCGGCTGCTGCACCATGGCCAGTCGGCCGACCTCGAGCAGATCAGCATCGTGTCGTCCAACGCCACGCCGTCGCAAGTGACCTACGGCACCGGTCTGGCCACGGCCAACGGGCCCAGGATAGTGCCAGGTGATTATTCCATCCAAATTTCTTTCTTTTTTTCCACAAGTGCATGCCGAGCGCAATCATCGCGCACGCATGTTATTATTATTATACGGGTCATCTAAAGGTGTTCAAAGGGTGAACATTTAGTCGAACTGGGACGAGATTTCAAGGGTGAAGATAAGTTTCTTCACTAGTCTCGTAGAGTTCGGACATAAATCGAAAAATGTTTACTATTACAGTAAAACCGTTTTTTTTTCTTTTTTGACTTCACATTACTCTGCAAAACCTGGCCTGATTATCATAATTTAGTGACGTCACCTGGTCGTCCAAATGGAGACATCTTTGTCTCTTTAGAAAGTATTAATCATAGGACAAACACATTACTCGTGTAAATATTTCGAGATCCTGCTGAAAATTTCAGTCTGAAATTGCATAACAAAGGTCTTATTGATATTTCGATTCTCGAATGATCTTATTGTCTCAAATAATGGGTCTTAGTAGTCTAAATAATGTGACCTTCTTGTTCTTTTATAGTAAACAGTTTTAGTTATAATTTACGTTTATTTTCCGTACTAAGAGACGGTAACGCTCAATCACGTATACATGGCTCACGAGCAAACATAAAATAATAAACATAAATTCGATAAGCAACAATAACGTCAATAAATACATAATATAATATTATTATTTATTTTTTATAAATGACTTGACTAAGTTATTATAATTTTTTTTTTTTTAATTCGTTAAAATTCTCAATATATTCACAATTTTCTAGAACTTGTAAATAGATAACTTTTTTTCAGCAAATAACATACAAAACAGTAATTTCAATCAGTATTATTGTTTATATAAATACAGTTTGCGTGAAGTCACCCCACAGTAAAAAAATATTGATATTCTTTCCTTTGTTCGTGATGCTTTTGTTAAAAGCATTCAAGTGGATACAATATACACAGCACTCTCTAAAGCCTTGATCGAGTCAATCATAACTATCTTGTGAGTAGGTATATACATATATATATATGGAAAAATAAAGAGGGCTAGTTTAAGTGTTGTTGAAATTTTTTCATTGTGACTTTATTTCCAAATAACTGAGTGGTGTCAATTCGTTTATTTATTTGTTATGTCATCCAACAACTAGATAATGTCATCGTTATTATTTAACACCTTTTAATTTACACACAGCGTATTATATATTTTCTTAGGATATTTAATTTTTGCCGCTTATGATGTTTCGAGCTTCTCGCAGATATGTGTACTAAATAATTATATGCTATCGCAAGTTACAGTAAATTATTTTATGTCAGTAAAATCTAATCGGTTTGTTCTTAAATCGCGAGAAGAAAAAAAAACGTTGATTCATTGCATTCATTGTATCTTATGCCTTCTTATGCAAATTGATGGCACAATAATATTACATAATTATTCATTTATTCATTTTAAAGTTCAATTACAGTCAGTAGGGTTATAGAGACTGGAATTTTTGATGAAATTGTACTTTGCCTAATCAGTATTTACGTGATGTTATAAACTGAATATTCAACTACATGCTTCCAATTATATTTTATTGATAGTATTTCCCAAGAGTTTTTCTAACGGGATAAATAGTTGAGAACAGCTATTTTGCAAGTGTTTTTTTCTTTTTTTCTCAGTAAAGTGATACTTAATCTTTTAAAGCAAGTCGTTTAAAAGTGTGTTTATATAAGAGAAGAAAACTCCTTTCACCAATTCAGTCTCAACATATCCTGATATCATCACAAATATTCTGACAATCGGGGTTTTTATGCACTTTAAGCTAATATTTTTTTCTATTATTTCTTCGTATTTCAATATTGCGCAAGAATGATATAGTGTTATATATTACTAAAAAAAAAAATACCTCGATTATAGATTGTTTTGAAACGATTACCCGTCAGACTATTTGCGTATAATAAATTTCAATTTTCAACCGCTAAAAACGTTATTTTCGATCGTACATGCACGTGTCACATAATTTCGTTTTTGAAATATTTTTACTGGTCAACGGACTCGTAGAAGTAATTCAAATGTACGTACGGTTTTCGTAATGCGACCGAAGACAACAAAACATTAACACTGCCGGTACACAACGCACATTGCTTTTGGTAATAATTTATCGTTTCGAACATCAATTTGATCAGTATTCGGTTCTACAATCGGTCGTCATATACATTATATACCTCGTATGCACTACGTGGTGGTCGACTATCGTGCCTGTAAATAATATACACTACGTGCAGGTCAGAAATATTCGATCACGTATTTATTGCACATTCCGATGCCGTTTCATTCGGGACATCGTATATTATATTATTATTATTATTATTATTATTATTATTATTATTATTATTATTATTATT